CTCTCTCTCTCTCTCTCTCTCTCTCTCTCTCTCTCTCTCTCTCTCTCTCTCTCTTGTGCGAGCTCTTAGTCTCATTGCTTTGGCTACCTTAGGGCTGCGTTCCCTGCGCCCCAAAAAGCCCTGCCAAAATTTCGAACACCCTTGTACGACCACAAACCCTGAAAATGCCTCGGCTGTATAAACGCAGCCCGTGGGAGGGTTGTAGTGTGAAAGCACCCCTAAAGCAAGCAGCACGCGCGTAGTCTGAATGCCGGTGTGCGCGCAGCTCCACCAAGCGCACGGGTGCATCTGCATGGACTTGTTGAACCTGTCAGTCAGGTATATCGTTGGCTTGAAATTCGGTAGTCGGTGTCGGGATCGGCACCGGGGCGTGAGGTTGGGGCTTGGGCTCAGACTCGGGTTCCTGCCGGGTAGCAGACCCAAGGGCTGGTCCCGTAGCAGGACCAGGTCCAAGACCCACCACAGTCGGGATGGCCCTCGCCAAGTCGCAGTGCCGCCGCCTTGAGGGGCGGGTCGCGGTCGTCACGGCGTCCACCGCCGGGATCGGGCTCGGCATTGCGCGCCGGCTTGGCCACGAAGGCGCCAGCGTTGTCGTTTCCTCGCGCAAGCAGGTAGGTCGTGCCATTATCTTTTTTTTCTTTTTTTTCTTGTCTAGCGACAGTAAATGCAAAATGTTCGTCGCGGCATCCGTTGAAATTGGAACAATGGGGAGAGAGAAAAGATTATCATGGCCTGTGCGCAAAAAAGAAAAAAAGAAAAAAAAAAAAAAAATTATTATTATTATATTTTTTTATGGAAGTAAAATTTTGGAGTAAGGAAAGTAGAAACAGAGAGAGAAAAAAGAAGTGTAAGAAAGAGAGAAACGCAAAATGCGCGAGGACAGAACGGAAAGATCGAAGATCTGTGAGGTTTTTTTAATGAATCCTTTTTTTTCGTTTTTTGTCTTGGGAATACTGAAGCAGTCGTTCCGTTTTGATCGGAGCAATGTATAAATATCAGTTCAGATCCGGACAAGGGAGGACTAATTAATGAATCGTTCTATCAATCAGTCGACCAATCAACCGATCAATCAATCAACCAATCAACCAACCAATCAATCAACCATCCAAATCAATCAATCAATCAATCAATCAGTCAATCAGTCAATCAATCAATCAATCAATCAATCAATCAGTCAATCAATCAATCAATCAATCAATCAATCAATCAGTTGATGAATCGTTCTATCGATCAATCGGCATGGCAAGCAAGCAATCAATCAATCTATCAATCACTCGATCAATCAATCAATCAATCATTCAACTCAATGAATGAATGAATGAATGTGTAAACGGATCATGATGAAAAAAAAAGTTAAAAAAAAAAAAAAAGCGGTAGGGATGGTTGGTCATTTTACGCGGGGGTGTTCTATATGGATCCCCGCGTTAATCGACCTCACAGGCTCGTACCCGATGGCGCCAAGGAAAAAAAAACAGAGAAAACGGGCCCAAAAAAACAAGGAAAAGAAAAAAAAGGGAGAGAAAACTGAGACAAGGAAGTAGGAGGAGAAAAGGAGAGTTGAACAAAACGTGGATCGCGCACCCAGTCGCTCATCCTAGGAATCTATGTTGAGATTCTCCCTCCCTCTCCCTCTCTCTCTCTCTTTCTCACTCTTTCTCCCCTCTCCCTCTCTCTCTCTCTCTTTTTCTTCCCTCTCTCTCTCTCTCTTTTTCTCTCCTCTCTCTCTCTTTTTTTTCTCTCTCAGCATGCTTCTCTTATGTCGCGCATTCGCGCTCATGGCGCGCACCATCGTCCTTGCTTACTGGGCGGCCCTCCCCCTCCCCCTCCCCCTTCCCTTCTCTTCTGCTCCTCCCCTGAAGGCCACCTCTTCTCTTTCTACGTTTTGTTGTGTGCGCGCGCACGTGTTTCTTTCCGCGCGCGCGCGCGTTTCTACGCATCCGACTTTTGCCTGTCACATACTCTCTTTTTCGCGCGCGCGCGTTTCTACGCGTCCGACTTTTGCCTGTCACATACTCTCGCGCGCGCGCGCGCGCGCCTGCTCACACGAGTTTGAACAGTCATTGTCAACACAGGCTTAGCGAAAAATAAATAAAAATAAAAAATCATCCCGAACTGGACTGGGCGGGGCTGTCGCACAGCTCGGAGGTCGCACAAAGGATGTAAATGCTAGACGTCGTTTTTTTTTTTTTTTTTTTTTTTTTCCCCCCCGACCATTTCTCGATTTATGCGTGTCGTCCTTGCCTTGCCCAGGGGCCATGCTAATTACTCTTCTCTGTCTCGTTCCAATTTCAACGGATTTTGCAGAGGACGTTTTTTTCAGTTTTTGATACATCGGGCGTCGGAGGTCGCACAGCAGACGAAAATGTGTGGCACACCAGTCGGAGGTCGCACAGTGGAAAAAAATATCGCACCCCAGTCAGCTTACCCGTTTGGTTGAGCGGAAGAAAATGTGTGGCACACCACCAGTCGGAGGTCGCACAGTGGAAGAACATATCGCCACTCCCATGAGGGAGGTCGCGTGTTCGATTCTTGGCGATCGGATCATGGAGGAAAAAATGAAAATCGCACACAACTCGAGGTCGCAGAAAAACTCTTGTTTTTTTTTTTTTTTTTTTTTTTTTTTTTTTTTTTTTTGCAGGAACGCTTTTCTCAGCCAGGGGTGAACCAAAGAAATGGGCCGATCACGCAAACGCAAGCTAGGGGAAAAAAATCGAAAGAAATGGGCCGATCACGCAAATGCAAGCTAGGGGAAAAAAACCGAAAAAAGGGAAAAAAAAGAGCGCCTCATCATTCAAGCGATGACGCGGAGCACAGGCAATCAATCTATCCATACTTTTTTTCATTTTTATTTTTAATCATCCATCCAATCTTTGGCAATCAACGAACCAACCGACCAGTCGTCATTCAATGTCTACCTATGCATCATCTATGTACCGATAAATATATCCCACTCTCGTTCATTCATCAATCAATCAATCAATCAATCAATACCAATCAATCAATCAATCAATCAATACCAATCAATCAATCAATCAGTCAATCAATCGACCAATCAATCAATCAATCAATCAATCAACAAATCGATGAAATGCACAACGCAACCTCGTCATGCACGTAGACAAGCTATCTTTCCAGCCAGATTCAGTAGCAGCGAAGACGGTAGCGCTTTTCTTGCAAGAGAAAAGAAGTAAGAAAAAAATTAACAGATTTTGTCCAGCATCAACGATTGGGTGATAATCAATCAACCAACCAACCAATCAATCAATCAACCAATCAATCAATCAATCAAATCAACTAATCAACGAAGACTGTAGCGCTTTTCTTGCAAGAAAAAGAATAAAGAAAGAATTAAAGAGATTTTGATTTTGTCTAGCATCAACGATTAGGTGATGATCAATCAAACCAACTAATCAATCAATCAATTAATCAATCAAATATAATCAATCGATCAAACAATCAATCAATCAATCAATCGATCAATCAATCAATCAATCAATCAATCAATCAATGAATCGACCTTCTCTTCATAACATGAACCATAATATCTCGTACTGCTTTTTTTTTTTTTTTCATTTTGATCACCGTCCCGGACCACCTATGTCTAGTCCTGAAATGAGGTCCTGTAATCTACCGAAACCATTTTTATTTTTATTTTTCTCATTTTTTTAAGGCTATCAGAGTGGCCCGGGGTCACTTGCCCGGCCGGGCCAAAAACATTAAAAAGTATTAAAAAAACATATTTTTAAATTTTATTTTTCATTTTGAATTTGGTGAAGAATTTCGATGTGACCCTGAGGCAAAAGTTGTTCAGTTTATTTTTCTGCATAACATAATTTTTTTGTGGATTTTTTGGATTTTTTTTTTGTTTTGTTTTTGCTGGGACCTTGCTGGGACCTTCCCTGGCCCCACGGGACCCGGGCGGCCCGGCTGGTAGCCTAGCATTTTTTTCATTTTTTCATTTTGTTTTAATCATAGTCTCGGAATAACCAAGCCAAGTCCTGAACTTATGTCCCAGATACTCCACCCAAACCTCTTTTTTTTTTTTTTTTTTAATCATATTCGCGGGACACCTTTCTCATTTTTTCATGTTTGTTTAATGGACCTTTTTTTTTTTCTTTTTTTCTTTTTTTAAGGGGGCCCCTTCTCTTCTGGGGGGTAGCAGTCCGGGTACTTATTACCGGCAATCGTGAGTTTTAATGAACTCTAAACTTAGGTCCTGTATACTTCATTATACCCAAATCAAGTCTGCACCGTCTATATACAATGTATGACACGTACGTTTTTTTTTTTTTTTTTTCAAGTAAAGGACTGAAGTCCGAGGCAGGCAAGTCCTATTACGTAGGCAGAAAGTAAGGGGAAAAAAAAGAAGAAAAAAAAGATGGAGAAGAACACAGGGCAGGAAAGGACAAGAAACGGGAGATTGTTGGAGGGGGGTGGGGGGGGGKGGGGGGGTGTCGGAGTTTTCAAAGACTGGCTCATCAGGAGGATAGTGCTATCTAAGGCCGTATTACTCAGAAAGGCCCCTGGATGCACCTGGCCGCTCATGCAGCCTGATTCTTGCTTGGGCCAACAAGCTAGTAGTCTGAGTATGGCCAAATTCAATGAACATTGGCCGCCGACACGTGGAAAGCAAAATTGACACGAAGAAAGCAGGTCACAGATGGTGGACAATTCACATTCGATGCTCGGAAACATTGGTAGAAAGTTCATGAAGCTCAGAACATCACAGATATGGCGTCAGCGATGGCGTCCTGTACGCCGGGTCTGGGTGGGCTGCGAAGCCGTCTTCCTCACTCAGGGGAATTCCACCTCCGTCCTGTACGCCGGGTCTGGGTGGGCTGCGAAGCCGTCTTCCTCGCTCAGGGGAATTCCACCTCCTTCTCCCTACCGTCTTCACCTGAATAGAACAGCCAGTCATTATAGCTGTATGTATTTGGGGCAACTTTCAGTGTAGATACAGCGAACTTTTTCAGTCCAGGGGTCGGGTCCCACTAGACGCGTATTAGGGCCTTGTTAGACCCTCCTTGGAAATCTGATTTTTAGGAAATCGGCTTCGTGCGTCCTAATTCACCAAATTCCTTGAATGCATGTGAAAACCCTCCCGAGAGATTTCCTTGGATTCCTCAGAATCCCCAGCCAAAACGTCCTTGGATTCAAGGGGTTCTCGCGAGGTCCCTTGGGTTCAAGGAGCCGCGATTGACAAAGTGTTCTGGAGCGAGCGCCGACAGGAAAATTTGGAGTCGATGTTGGTGCACAGGTCGTCCGTGGTCCAATGGGCGGACATCGCCGGCCTCCAGTACCTGACGGGCCCCCAATGGCTTCCACCATTACCATTGGCGTGAAAATGCGTGGGGTGGTTCTTCAGCTGCAAGGCGCTTTACGAAGCAGGGTTTTCCATGCCCGCGTCGCCGGCCGTGTTGTCCAACGGTCGGATTTTTTTATTTTTCTACAAGCGATGTTGAAGCTGCAATGACTTGCTGTTTTCTGGTCGCCTGCAGCCTCTCTCTGTCGAGGCTGTACTATAGGTAGGACAGATTCGCAATTTTATTTGGCTGAGGGCTAACTGAGAGACCTACCTGTGAGGGAAATTCGTGAGGGACATCTCTGCACA